TTGTTTTGATCTTTTCAATGTTTAGATTTTTATTTTCCATCACCACTCTTTATTTCCTTTTAACTTTCCACTGAATTTACAAATTAGCTAAAGAGTGTCACGGTGTTAGAATTAATTTCTCTCAGAAAAAGTATTCATTATCATCATCACTATTGTTCTTGTTGTTGGTGTTTTTGTCTTGATAATCATTCACATTGTTATCGGTTTGCTATTTTAGGCCTACAGAGTTGGATGCTCTTGTGTTCGGCCATCTCCACACAATACTGACCAGATACTTACCAGATGATTCGCTCAGCTCTGTAGTAAGGGCTCACAGAAATCTTGGAGACTTCGTTATGAGGATCCTGGGGGGATTCTTTCAATAAGCAGGAGCAACTACTGTTAAAACTTCGTTATGAGGATCCTGGAGGAATTCTCTCAATAAGCAGGAGCAACGGTTGTTTAAATAAACCATTTTACAGACTCGAGACTCTCTAAAAAAGCCATCTAACGATTTACTATAAATACACGAGAGCACGAAGCTGCCTGTCCCTTGTCTTTAGAGAGGGTTGTGTGACGCTCACGGCAAGCAAAATTGTGCAAAAGTGAATTTGTTTCCATCTGTCTTCAGCTGTTTTTGCACTATTTTGAAATTACATATATTATTTGTGGTTTCTGGGTTTATCTAACGATTCATATATGCAATCGCGTTGTTGCACGTCAATTAATCTTAGGCGTTAATGTTGCGCAATTTTCCTCTTAATTAGTGTTCCTCTTGTCCTTATAAGAAGAGATTTAGAGAAACTATTGATTGCAAATTTCAACGCTAGAAAGTTATTAAAATTCATAGAAACTTCTAAAAACTTACAACACTGTTCGTACGTATATTGACGACGTTGCTTCACGTCATTATCTAGTCAAGAGTAAAAATGACAGGTGGAAATATTTTAAGTAATCAATATCGATGGGAAAAAGGTTTTTGTTCCTCTGAGTATAGTTCCTAAAGGTGAAATAACAACGAAGAGGTAACAAAAAAGTTTCGAATTGAATCAGTCTGTTGGTTGAACGAATGTCTTCGCAATTTATCGAGTTAATAAAACCACAGGTTTTTGCCTGCTACGACGAGAACGAAGAACAGTAACAGTTCTCTTTCTGACTGTTACACACCCGTTCTCCTTAACTGCTGGTTCATATCCCGTGCCTGGCTATTGGTTTCTCAAAACAAGCGAATGAGGGCAAAGAAGGAAGAACGGTAGAGGTGCGTCGCTTGCCCGCTCTATAATCCACTAACTGAGAGCCTTGAATAGCCTAACATAAATCTGTAGGCGGAGGGAGGAGCCGGGCGCGCGTCAAATCCATTTTTGTTGGGGGACTATGCCGTAATTTTGGGAAACGGACAGAAGTGATTAGTTAATGTCACAAACTAAAATTTTCCTTTACGGCATAAATTTCACAAAATTATTTAAAAGATACAATCAGATCAATGTTTGAATATTCAATGGAGATTCTAACCCCTCAGAAAAAACTAACAGCTCATTTCCTGGTACAATTAAGCATAGCTACTTTGGTTTTTTTCTCAGCGCTGGAGCGGGCGGAATTCAACAAATCCTTTAGTTCAGTGAATAGGTTTGAGAGTACGGGCGACTTTTAACATTATGTTAGTAACTTTCAGAGGGCTCCTTCACATATGTGCGGGTAGAATTTCAACAAAAATAAAACGTGAAAGGTATTTACTGCTTTGTGATCTTGTAATGGTTATCTCTGCGTCTTGAAAAGTTCGCGAACGTTTTCAGATAATTTTACAAGTTGTGGCAATATCTTCGGCAATTTCCGGAGGTCGCCGGCATATTTTCGGAAATTTGGGAGGCATGAATCTTCAGCATTAAATAACCCACGGAAACGTTTTTAGGTTCAGATTTGTCGATGTATCCTTAATTGAGCTGGGAATAGAGTTTCCTCTTTAAGGGTACTTGTTCAATTTGAGAACCTGAAGGCGTCCATTTTAGCGACTGCCGTTTAATAGTGGGAACTATTGACCTGTTACCAGGAATGCTGCCCTTCTTGACGCAGCCTAATTTTTGAACACTCTCTTTTGAGGCCCTTCTGGTCATAATGAATGACATCAATGACATCAGTCGATGTTCGAAGTATCTCGAGCTTCTCAAACTTGTTTTGTTCGGTACCCAGGGTGGACTGGGGTCTAACAAACTCCTCGTGTAACGCGAGACAGCCTGGGTACGAACGTTGTTTTCGGAGAAGAAGAAGGCGCCATTTTTGAATTGATTATCGGTGTTTCATCAATACTAAAAAGAATCCAGGACAAAAGTTCCCTTGAGGACTATCTTCAAGAGCCATTACAGAGTATACCCTGTAATGGAACGGAACTCTTGGATACATGGAGGAGGAAAGAATTCTTAAGGCGCTTCTGAATGGTGAAACAGACGATCTCTTTGAAGATACCAAGGTTGGTCTTCGCCAGTTTCACAACGAGTTTTCTTGCTTTTGATAGTTTTAAAGTTTTATACAGTTTAATCTATTTTGTGGATAATGACAACATTTTGACTGCATGGAATAATTATGTTTATGTTGTATGTTTTAAGAACTATCTCTCTCCATTACGGTCACCTCTGAATGCCAAAAATGGCTGCAAGTTGGGTTGCAAAGTTGCAGAAGAATCTGTGTCAAAATACACATTGTTTTCAACCAAGTTTCTGAGATGTGCTATTGAGACCTTGAAAAAGGTCAAAACAAAAGGGAAACACCTTGATGAAATCACAAACTCCTTAAATTTAGGTAAGTGATGACTTCATAGTTAGTGTGCAGAGTTGTCAGTAAGTCTGTCTGTTAACAATTTGGTAGCTAGCTTTGTGGAGTAGACGGCTGGCTGAAAATTTGAGAGCTCCTTCCTGGGGTCGCAAGGGGGTTGGGTGGGTGCTTCCCCACAAAATATCATTTTTGAAATATTATTTCTGAAATCTATTTTATGCATTCAGTTGGAGTTATCTGCAAAGCAATGTGGCTGTTAGTTGGCTAGCTGAGTAAACATGTGCCATGTACATGTAGCAATTGGAAGAGTGCTCAATAAGCAAAAAAATGCAAAGGAATTAATGTTCTTGTAGAATGTAGAAATGGCTTTTCAGAACATTGTCTGTTCATGAAACTTTCTGTTACAGTGACTTGTTTTAATTTTTATTTCAGTTTTTTGTTCACCATTGACAAATATTATTTTACAAAAA